CACTACACTACACTACACTACACTACACTACACTACACTACACTACACTACACTACTGTATAGTTGTGTGTAACATTATTCAGTTAAAATTGTTATCCTAAATCTATAAATGATAAAAATTCAATTCAATATATTTTCTATTGATTTCCTTTATGCTACATTCGAAAATAAAACATACTAAAAGACATATGACCCTGACATTCACATCATATGACATTTCTAAATACCATTTTAACATTTCAAAAGGACCAGCCTATGAAAGTAAAGAATACATTAAAACCATGTTGAAGCTTACTCTAATTATTAACCTCATTCACCTTCATGTGTAAGAACTGAAACAGTCACAGCTTGAGTCATCACATAGTGTGACAGAAAACTTAACAAGTGTCCTCCCACTCCTGCTTCCCTGCAGTTGATCGCGGAATTTGATTTGCATGGTCCTGTTCAGTGTTATTAAACTATATTAGAATATTTCTGAAGTACAGTTACAATGTAAAATCAACTGCTGCTGTGCAACATTGTTCATTTTATTTAATTGTTCATTTTTTGAGGAACATTTCTGTAATTGTAATGTTTCAAGAGACGGAAAATTTGTTTCCTTGTTCATTTGGCATTCCTAAACTGCAATATTATAATAAAGATTTGAAGCAGAGCTGTCAAGAGGTTTAGAATTCATTCACAGTTTATCTATATGGGAAATAAACAAAACTTATGTAAAACGGCCCCAACCAGGCTTACACGATTACCCTAATCCCTAATAAAATTTACTTTAAACCTGGATTTATCAAAAAATGTGTACATTTCACCACTTTCAGGGTCTTCTGGTTCAGTGGTCAACAGGCAGAATCGACTTAAGCCAAAATTCTTCATGGTTTATATACTGTTTTATATTACCAGTTGATATACTGACAACAAGTCTGTAATGTATTTAGTTACTAAAGCATTCGGTGATTAAGAGACTAAAACAAGTATTTTCTGACCCAGTGTACAAACTTTCCAACTGGAATAACTGGCAAGGATGAAACTTTACGACATGCAAATAGAGACATACTCAAAATAAAACCTGCAGCTGTGGTAGGGAGCTAATTATTTGGATCATTCTCCTATAATTCATTGTATTTTTACCCTAGTATCGCCTCAGAACAATAAAAGCATTTCTAGGTGGAATTAAACGGACTTCAATCTCTCTTTATGTCCTCCCTGCACTAATGATCCTTGAAAAAGAGGTTTTTAATTTCAATGGGATTTTTTTTCCTGGTTAAATAAAGGTCAAATAAAAATGTTTGTGGATGCTTTATTAAAACTCTCTTGTGACATGTTAATAGCTGCTATTTGTTTTATTAGAGCTGGTATTTGCTTTTGACACATTGGACGACCTTACAATGATAAATAAACTTAATTTGAATTAGTGTGGATATATGGTGTGGTTTTACAATTATTCTAGTCTTACCTGTCAAATATATATTTTATAGTCGGTAAAAAAAAGAATTTCTGACACGGCTATTTTGTTTTGTTGGTACATTTCAGATCATTTTAGGGCCCGTTCTCTTTTTATTATGCATTTTCTATCTTTATGGTTATGATATTGAACTACATGTTTTTTTTTGTAATGTTAGACTGATAAAACACCAAACCTCAGCAACAGAAATTAAACAATGGCTGGAGATTGGCTATTTGCAATGAAATGGGAACAAAACAGAAACCACCATTATTGCATGTTAATAGGCAGCATCTAAACACTTTGTCTCCTTCTCTGCAAACCAGTATAGTATGGGTAGCAATGTTGACAGCTCTTTACCAGGTCTGATAATCATTCCTGATAAACGTTTGTCCAGAACTGTTATAATTTGAGGAATATTTCAATATTAAGATTACAGAAGTCAAAATTGAATTGGAAATGGTCGTGCTATGATCTGATCTCATTTGGATCATTTCATTTGTCTTTTTACTTGTCTACGTAAATCAAAATTTATTACAGTAGGTGGGTATCCAGTAGACAAGAACGCTTCACCAGCAGTCGTAACAAGAAAGAACAGAAGATAGCAACTTACCCCCTTCTGGTCTCCCTGCACTTGGAGGGAACTGAGGTTCTTCATGGCCAAGCTTTGGAATATTTTGGAAGTTGTAGGTAATACCGCAGAGTTCTTTTAAAACTGTAGAGATCGGGCTTTTTAGGCTGTGGTTCCAAGGTTCTGGAACTCTCTCCAGCTTTCCCATCAAATCTACTGACACTTTTAAGAGAAAGTAAAAAAAACATTTCTATAACAACAAGCTTACAGCTTTACTGCATGTATTTGAAATATGCTTATGTTTTTATCTTTTGCCATCATAAGGCTCTTTATGATTTTAAAGTCTTGAAAATGTGCTATACAAATAGATTTTACAAACTAATTACTAAAAGCTGTATGTCTGCCTTTAAAGAGTTTTTATTTTTCAAACTTTGAAAATAAATAACCAACCGCCAATTCATGTTTATGTACACCCCTGCGTTGGTCGACAAATGAAAATACATATGTTGCGGATGTGATAAGGTTTAATAAACATGAAGGCACTGTATGCTGGATATCTGTTAATCATCTTGATATGTTACGTTGGATCATCATAGGGCAGAATTGTGTCCAAAATGAAGGAAGCTAATGATTGATAACTTACGTACTTCAGCAATTTCTGTAAGCTCTGGCATTTTTTCTTCTTTTCAACCTGAAAATCTGGCCTTTCAGAGTCATATCATATAAAATAGTATTCCAGCTCCCTCTTTTAGAACCTCCATCTTCCCACCACGGCTTAATGTGTGGTTAAAAAAATAAAAAATAAGAGGAAAAAGGCCCCAGTTAAAATGTGCTACCTCCACGCGAGCAACGATGCAGGAAAACCCTTGTCACTGCGGAGACTGTCTGATGTAGATTGGTTAAGCCCCTTTGGCCCTCTCATTTGGCACCCAGCCTGACCCCCCCACCCCCCACCAAACCAACATATGTGGTGATGACATTGGATGCCACCACAAGCTACCAGTTTTAAATACTTGCAAATTGCAAATAAAAGGTAAAAGAAAGGTAACATGGATATGAAGAGAAGAGGTAGGGATGAAATAAGATGTAATAAAATCACAAACACAAAGCAGTTTTATTTTTTCAGTAGCATTCCTTATAATCACATTAAATAGGTTCAATCAAGTTGGTTTTACCCATAAAAAACATGACAAAAGTAAAGATAAAATACAGATTTGAACATTTGTTCACATTTTGGTCGACAGTTTTGTCAGAATTAAACATTTGTAAGAAGAAAAAAACAAAAATTTTCACACACACAAAAAAAATTAATAAAAAAAAAACACAGAAAACGAAAACAAAGCGTAACACCATATTGATTTACTGAAACTTTGTCAGACGGCTGATTCCAGGATAGGATCATCTGTCTGAAGGTAGTTC